AGTCCGTTTTGATTCATCAAATGTACCATCGATGACTGAATGCAACCAGCCATCTCTAGCCGATGACTAAAGTCCGGTGCCGAATCCTTCAGTAAAGAAGAATCAGAGATGACAGCAATACGAATATTAGTATTCAGTAAATTTTTTGTTTTCAAAAATTATGATAAACTGCTTCCAACAATAGTTTTTCTATTTAATTGAAAATTTATTTATTTATTTATTTTTTTGTCAAGGTTTCATTTACAGGGAAATTGTGTGTATCTGCTTCAACTGCTAAACTCTTGCTACTTCAATGGTATTACAAACAGTTGACGTTGGTTGACCAGAAAAAAGGAGCAAAAGAGAATTGTTGTTAAATTTTTGAATACACTTTTAAACGTTTCAAACTATTTGAACCATCGACATCAGAACGATATTTCAACAAAAACAATTTCCAACGAAGGACTGTTTTTAGAATTGAAAAGTGCTGCTATGGTTTAGTTTCTTCAATCGTCCATTTGTTCGTTTTTCCAGTTTGTTTGCTTGTGTTAACACTTACAATAGCAGACCTGATTAGAACTCCTTGAATAGAACTTCGGATGAAAAAAGATGAAACAGAATGTGCAATATAAGATTTGTTTCTTTACATTTATATGAAGTTACAAAATTTTCCTTATTTCAGTTGTCCATTTGAAAAACATTTTTTGTCGATTAATCTGCACCAAACAGTATGTAAATTGTTTCAGTAAACATAAAAAAATTTTGAGATTTTTCATCAAATATCAGAACAAAATAAAAGTTGTTTCCGCCAATTTCAACAGTTTAAATAATTTTAAATAGTAACAGCAACACTATTGAAGCGCAAAAAAAACTAACAACTCTACAGTAACAAATACAAATTGTTTATGGATTCATTTTTAGGCATCGGAAGAGATTTTTTTTCTTTTCCTAAAAACATGCAGTATTCTTTCTTACAGCACTATCAACCAATATACCCGCGTAGAACGAATGAAACGTTGAAACTGATTGCTCAGATAGACAACAATATTTGTTGGCAAACGCTTAGAAGCCAATGACAAAAAGAAACTACTGCAAAATTACTCTTGAGAATACTTTTAATCTTCACATAATTTAAGCGTCAAAAGGAACCGTAAAATCTTAACAGTTACGGAAACGCGCTCTCCCTATCCCATATGCTCAACGCAATCGCGAACCCTCGATGAATGTTAAAGTTGAGCCATTACAGTAATCAGGTTTCATATTAAAATTAAAAGAAATATTGACAAGATTTTTGGAAAAAAAAAAAAAAAGCAGGAAAGATTGAAACGAAAAAGAGGATATACAACGGCAATGCACCGTAAGCAGTAAATACAATTCTGTAGAACAACAGATTCAACTTACCTCCTCTTCCTCACCCTCTCTTCGTCCCTTCTTCTCCCCGCTAAAACAACAACTATTACTACTACAAAGAACTGCTGTCAGCCACTGTATTCGCTGTTCATAGGAAACGTTATTAAGCAATTATTAAAAACAAAAGAGGACAAAAAATGTCTTCTAATTATCGGCCTACCATTTTGATAAAACTTCGCCATTTATTTTTCTATATTACTATTATTGTCTCTGTTCTTTTTATTATTATTATTATTATTGTTATTATGATTGTCATTAATATTATTATTATTAATATTATCACTATTATTACTGTTATTACTATTACTATTATTATTATTATCATTATTATTATTATTATT